AATGTATACTTTATTCTATACATTATAACATACAATATATATTATATATTATAAAATATATATACTATGAAATCAAATTATATTATATTATATATTAATATATAATATACTATATATTATATATTATATGTTACATATTATATACTATATCTTATATCTTATATATTATTATATTACATATAATAATAGAAAGTTCGGTTAATCGAATTTTTAATTCTAAAAATCAAATTAATCAAAAACCAAATTAATCAAACCGATTTAACCAAAAGGACCAAGCCGAACAAATCAAAACCAAAATTTTCAATTCGGTTTTTCGATTTTAATCGAATAATGCTCACCCTACCTTTAGCAGAAGTCACGACTGTCACCAAGAGTCTTATTTCTACGGTAGTTTTTTTTTTTTTTTTTTAGCTTTACCAACAGTCGCCAAAACTGCTGTTAGAACTTTTAGCGACACCTCTTTTAGCAGTAATTTGCCGACTGCTGGTTAGAACTTTTAAAACTTGTAGCAGCAGTTTTCAGAACTTTTAACGATAGTTTTGAATGCCGCTAAAAGTGAGTGATTTTTCTTGTAATGGGGTTTGGTGTTGGAGTGGGACAAATCCATACGACTACAGATTATTGCCTCCCCTCCCCATCATATTTGTGCAAAGATTCTTAATTATCCAAGTTTTGTGTAATGGTTTTTGTGTTGCTTTTATGTCTGGCGGGCCGACAAGAATTTTTTAATTTCTTATTTGAAGATATTAGTCAATGGAATATTGGAATGGACTTATATGTGCTATGGGTGATTTTAACTATATTCTTATTTTGCGCTTTCGGGAAGCTACAACTTCTTGTCATTTGATGGATCTTGGATATCACAGTCCGTTTGGTTGTCAAGAAAGGATGAGATGAAAAGGGATGGGATGAGAAGGGAAAATTTATTTCATCATTCTTGTTATCTTATATTTGATTGTTGAAAAAATTTTGCAGGATGATTCACAGATACATCGAAAATGAAGAAGAGATTTCATAGGCAATCTTCCCCTACAATGCTACATAATCTTCATTTGCTTCTGTTCTCTTGTTTTTGAAAACTTTTTTTCCAAGCTTTTGTTGGGCTACAAATGGATCAAATCGAATTCTAATTGGGTATAAACAAAAACAATATTCGATTCCATTCATACAAGTGTTCCTAGCTATAAACAAAAACAATGGCGGCCAAGAAATGGTAATAAGCATTTAGACAAAAAGAAGGACGTTCACAGCTTACAAGGTTCAGCTACTTCCTCTTATCTTGAAATCAATGGCCCGTCTATCTTGCGAGTTGTTGACTATATAGACCGTACGTCCAATCTGGACCCTCTTTGCTCTTTAGGCTGCGTTTGAAATTAGTGTAAAAGTCATACATCGATGCAGTTTTACACTAAACTATGAAAGTGATCAATGCTTTTTGAAAATAGTGATGGGTGGAAGAATGTAAAATTTTATATCGATTTTACATCGATTATCGATGTAAAACTTCATTCCATCCAAATACATGCAAAACTGAACCGCAGTGGAATTTTATGTCGATAATAATTTTACATTGGTTCTTGATTTTCACCGCATCCAAACGCAGCCTTATCTAATAATTTAGAGGAATCATTGTTACATGTCCTGTTTCTTTGCCCAGTAGCACAAGCATTATGGTTTGATACTCTGTGATCATCATGGTGGTTTTATTTAGGCAAGAACAGTTGCTATTGGATGTGATAGTGGTGAGATGGCAGAGGCTATGAAGGTCTTTCTATGCTCTCCCAGTTGCAATTGTCTCATGTGATTATTGAAGGTGATGCAACAAACATTTACAAACTCCTGTTGATGGATCACATAAACCCACCGTGGCATCTTATTAGAATAATAGGAGCTTATAGGAGTTATTTTCACCACTTGCCTTCTTGCTTGGTGAATTGCACCCATCGATCAGCAAATAAAGCTGCTCATGCAATAGCAATAAAGGTTTATCTTTGGGTCGGCCTTTTACCGGGTCGATTATTCCAGATTTCTTGAATACTATTCTTGTAAATCATATTTCATCAAGCTTGAATGAATAAATCAGCTTGCGTGATTTTTATCTTAAAAAAACATCACCTTTAAGTTAAATATTTTTTTATGAAAAATCAGAAATTCAAGAACACATTTTTTGTTTCAGTTCTGGAAACAAAAAACACACGTATAACCAAGAAAATGTTTTTTTTTTATGTGTTTTGGTTTTATCTTTCAATAGCCAATTTGTTTTCAAACAAGTTGGTTTTATTTTGTTTTTGGAATTGGCAACAAGGAAAACAATTCATTTTGGAGAACACCCCCTAATTTTACAGTTAATATGTTTTTTGGGTGCTGAATTCTAATTAAGTGTAAAACAAAATTCCTAAAAAATAATTAACCAAAAAGGGTAAAAACTTGAAATGGGAGAAATAAGAGAATTTTTTATAGAAAAACATAGTATATGTTTGATACCAGTGTTCCATGTCTGTTTTCAGCTTTGGTACTCATTATAGGAAGTCCACGTCACTGCCACATCACGTTCTTGTTGGCAGCAATGAGCTGTAATCTAAGAAAATGCCAAATTCGACATTGCTCCAAACCACGCCTTTTCGATTTCCAAGGTGTGACTTGGAGTACCGTTTTTTATGGAAAAACGGTTTCAAACAAACACATTTTTTGGAGCACCGTTTTTTTCGATATGATGCTGATGTGTCACCGTTTTCTGGAGCAACGACATCTATGCCAAACAGATGCATAAGATAAGTGCTTGGTGGCATAATGAAGGGATGGAATTCATGAGTTCAAATCATCCCCCAACCGAGATTACCCCCCACAATGTACCACAACACATCTCCACCGTGTATTGAGAGCATCTCCAGATGATGACATAATCATTTATGGGATTATCATCGTGAGATGTTTCCAATACACGGCGGGGATGTGCTGTGAGATGTTGTGGGGGGCTGATTTGGCCTCAGAATTCATAACAATATTTTGTCGATTCCCAGAAGTTTTCTTTTAAATGGAAATTATATTTTCCTTGCAAAGCCATATACAAATGCAAGAAATTATGTCCCAAGTGCAAAATAATTCGATGGAGCCAATTAATGACCATCCATATCTAAGAAAATAAATGTTTTCTTTTCAATTTCTTGTTTTTTTTTGGCCAACCAAAGGCAGCCTAATGCTTATACAAAAATTGGCTTTGGAGTCAGGATTTTGAAAGGGTGCTTTTTTTTTTTTGAAAATTCCTGATTAATAATACCATGTATTTTGGGCCTAGTGTCACTTTGGTCCCCAAACTTTCAAAACATGTCAATTTACTATCTACTGTTAATCAGCCATTAAGTGGTATTTGAAAAGACACAAATACCCTTCGAGTGCCATCTAATTTTCCTTGCCAAACATTGACAAAAAATGAGCAGTCCCAAATCCTTGACTCTTCTATTCAAGAAAGTCGGGGTCACGAGAATGTCCACTGAGACGTGACCCCAACTTTCTTGAATAGAAGAGAAAAAGATTTGGGACTGTTCATTTTTTTTTGTCAACGTTTGGATGGTTAATAAAAAAAATTAGATGACACTCAAAGAGTATTTGTATCTTTTCAAATGCCACTTAATGGCTAATTAACAATTGATTTACAGCAGGTACTGGATTGGCACATTTTGAAAATTTGGGTATTAAATTATCACGTTTTAAAGTTTGGGGGGCAAAAGTCACACTAGGCCCAAAATACATGGTACTAATCGAAAATTTTCACTTGTTTTTTTTCTTAAAATTAACTTGATTGAAACCAGAACAAACGTGGAGAGGTGAAGACGGTGTCTCATGGGCCATGAAGAAAGATGACTGTTCAAACAAAATATTGTGAGTTCTTATTCCAAGCATGTCGCATCTCTATTGCTCTCGACGCTATAAGAATCCCTCACTAATGGCTAATACCTTTCAGATAATTCCTTTGTGTCCATATCAGTTGTATTTCAAACCATACTTAATGGGCTTATTAGGCCAAGAAATTATTTAAATGCCCATGATAATGGGCCTAAAGGAACCACTAAATTTCAAAGTGCGCAGAGGATGGGCCTAAATGCCAGTATAGTCCACCTAATACAACCGTGAGGGATATTCAAAATTCAAATCACTATGGGCATCCCTAACTCGATTTTGAGGGAGTTTTGTAGATATACTCAAGTATTGCCCCAACTCACCTCAATTACCAATTTACTATCGACCCAACATATAACTTAAAAGCAACATTAGCTCAGAGCACAGAGGGTGGCGTACCTGGCGGTAAAGTGAAATTTCAAGTAAAGACCGAATAAAATGCAAAGAAGCAACCCCGAGTAAGAAGAATTATAAAATAACTGGATAAACTACTCGAGCCACTCAAGCTGGGCTTTAATTCAATTAATCACAAGTTGAAGTTGAATATTTAGTGAGTCAAGATCGAGTAGGTCATGAGTAATTTGAATTGCTTACACCTTAATAAGGGTGTAAATGGATTGATTCAAATCGAATTAGGTAATAACGTAATATCTGAATTGGATTCAATTTGAATCCGAACGAATAATTATTTTTAAGTAATTAATGAATATATAAAATAAATATTTTATTTATGTCTAATCTCAAATTCAAAATCAAATTTTAGAATAGCATTAACACTCCTACCCTAAAGGCCTAAACATCCCAAAGACTTTTGTACTTGTCGTGCCAATTTCACTTTTATTTTAATCGACAATGTCAATTTCACATTTAAATGACCATACAATCCCCTAAACCCTAATTGATGGGTGAGATGTTACATCTAATTAAATGCCATTGGAGAGCATGCATTATCTCCTACATTAGCATTATTAAATGTAATTTGTGATGATTTCCCAAAGTGCCCTTTCCAAACAATATATTACACCCTAAATTACGAGGCAAAATCATGTTTTCGGAACCATTGAGACACGTCTGAATCTGATGAAGCAGAAAACATAAGCGGGTGTGAAAGAATCAAACCACTCAAACAATCGTCCTTGGCTTTCATTCAATACTCCTATCCCGCCTCAAATTTACATGTAAAAAGAAAAAGAAAGAAGAAAGAAGAAAGAAGAATAGAAAAGCTTCTTCCATCCATTTTTACAAAAAAGAATACAAAAATTGCAGGAATAAAGAATATCCCCAAAAGCAAAAGAAAGGGTGGCCCGGTGGTGGCCTAGCCTTGAATGGGGCGTTTGCCACGAGTATCTGGACGTGGGCTGGTGAGAGATGTGGAAGCAGTTGTGGCACTGGCACTGTTGGAATTGAAGGTGGATGCAAATGTATTATGAGTATGAGATGACGATTCGCCGAAAGAACCAGAACCTGCGCCCGATCCCGATGAAGACCCGACCGTCGCCCTCCGAGTTCTTCTGTATCTAGACCCAGGGTAGCCCGGTCTCGTGGGCTCTTCCAGCGTGGTGCCCGGCTTCTTCGACAGCATCACCCCCACTCGACGCATGTTTGGCCGTGACACCGGGTCAGCTTGGGTGCACAATAAGCCGATGTGTATACACGTGGCTATCTGTTCTATGGCTGACGTTGATGCTAATGTGGGGTCCATGATCTCCAAGCTCCGGTTTTTCTTGTAAAGCTTATACGCCTGCATTGCAAGTTGCAACCATTCATTCATATGTCATACATACATCATATGTGTGTTGCTTTCCTTGTATATAAGGACAAAATATTTAAACAGTTTTCAGTGGGAAACGGCTTTTCTAATTTGGATTTGGATGACCACGTTGTCGGAGCTATTTGACATTTCAGCAGTGTTTACGTGATCAAACATCTGAATTGGAGGAGTTCATACCGTGTATTGGAAACATTTTCCAATGATAGTATCAATTTCGATGACGATGATGATATCATCATCGGAAGATGAAGATGTTTTCAATACACGGTGGTGATGTGATGTGAGGCATTATGTGGTGTGTGTTCCTGACAGCGACAGGATTGCATATACTCCAAACGTACGGTTGGCTGTACTCAAATATGTCAATATGTCAACCGTACCCAATACGCCAATATGTCAGCTGTAGCCCTGGCATTATTCACTTTCAGACAATGTTGTAAGATTCAGACCGGCCAGGGTGATCTCTTGATCGGATCCTCAAAAACATTGATTTCAGAAATTGAGTGAATTCGGGTGGTCTCAACTGTCAAAAACGGCTCAGGGCTCAGGGCTCACGGCTCACGGCTCACGGCATCGCACTCATAACCTCATGGTCAAGTGACTCTGTGACTGATTCATGCGATGCGAGCGAGGCCGCCCCCTTCCGAGTTCCGCCCTTCGATTCGAAACCCTTCACAAGGGAAGGGGGCATCGCACGCAGATGAGGACACCCTCATACAATTACAATACAATTATAGACACTGTAGTGTAGGCTAAGTAATGGTTGGAATCCTCACCCAGTCTAGTAGATTTTGGCAATCAATGTCAAGGTAAAACGTGGAGTTCTTCTGGCCGCTGATCAACTCCAGGACCACAACTCCGAAGCTGAACACGTCCGCCTTCGCCGATAGTCTTCCGTGCATCAGGTACTCAGGTGCCATGTACCCACTACAATTCATTCACAGAAGAGAGGCATTAGCGAAGATCCAAGCCGTCCCCCGACATCATCAGTTCATCAAGTCAAGAAAGGATGATTAAGATGATTAAAGATAAACGTACTTGGTGCCAGCGACACGAGTATTGACGTGCGTCTGATCTTCGGGGAAAAGGCGGGCCATGCCGAAGTCAGCGATCTTGGGGACCCACTTTTCGTCCAAGAGAATGTTACTGGCTTTGATGTCGCGGTGGATGATGGGACTGGGCGAATCCTCGTGAAGGTAGAGCAGACCCCGGGCCACCCCTGAAATTATGTCGAACCTCCTCTTCCAATCAAGCTCCTTCTTTCTCTCCGCGTCTGTAACACGATCAACCAACAAGTCCACATCACCGTTAATCTAATCACTCAAAACCATCCATCCATCAGTCTACTCCCTCTCTCTCTCTCTAGTAGCCTTTAATTACGGTTGCAGATGTATTTGGGTTTTAATTATTTTCAACATCATAGCATCTTTCAGCATTTAAGATCTGGAATCTTGACTCTCCACTAGATTGATGTTGACCCCGAGTTTTGAGATGGCGTCCAACACGTGACAAGACATCGTCACGCATGCTAAATTCGACACGTTTTCTGTGCATCAGGGACTACAGCTGTGAGTCTGTGACACAACCTCAGCCGTCAACGACCGGGTCCACTTTAATAATAAACCATGGATTTGTATGGAAGGTTCTTTTACTTCTACGTCGCTGATTTAAAATTTATCATAATGTGATATTGTGATGAGTTGTTGACAAAATGAGACCCCACACAACGTCACATGTGACATGGTAAGATACTGGTGCAAATACAAATTCATATACGTGGGTGGGGCTTACAAGTTACAACCATATGGAGCAACTGCAACACCACCCTAGAATTTCTTGGAAGATGACACATCAAACTATGGAAAGGCTTCTTTAATGTTGGCATCCAAAGAGTTGCATAAACTCGTTGTTTACAAACACTCTTTGATTCTTTCTACGACTTAGTGCCCGCCAAACTCGTCATGCCAAATGTCACAAATAAGGATTTCAGATTTCTCAGGTAAGAGTTATCAAAAAAAGCAAAATGGTTAGCTTTTGAAACTCCAATTTTTCTATACAAGGGACAAAACAAAATTATAAAACATTGAAATATTGGGTTTCAAGCTATTTTAAAACTCAAGCTTTTTATAGTATGTTGGACCCAGTCCTCTCACATCAATAATCCTATTAATCTACTAAGGAAAATCAAGAGCTTGACCCTACTAGTACAAGGAGTTGAGTTCAATCCTTCAATGGTGAAAGTGGGTTTTCATATTTGAGATCCCTGCCCTCTTATTCTAACGTAACACAAGTCCAATTAGCCCACAATCACTTGTCCAAAGTGAAGGAGGAGATTTTTTTTTTTTCTCCTCTTTTCTTATTTTAGGTTATTATCCTTGCCTACTTGGAAGAAATAATAAAGAGCCATCCCATAATTCATATTCCTCTATAAAGAATTCTTAATATTTCACTTGGAAAAGCAACTATCACCACAATTATCTAATTTCTCTAAACATGTTGATTGGTTTGTTCCAACGTGGAATCAAAACCTGCAACCAGCACCGAATACCAAAAAAACAAAAAGTCTGATATCTGAAAAGCAAACAGTAAATCTCCTTTTCTACTTTTGAGAGCCTTTATAATATTAAAAGAGGCAAATCATTATAAGCAAACCTGTTATCTATAGTTCAGAACTTCAAATGTTAACACAAATAAGATCCAATCTCTCAAAAGCAATTTTAGCAGCCACCCAAGTATATGAAAACTTAGGGTCATAATTAATTACAAAATAAAATTTATAAATGTCTAATAAACTCTTTCCTACTAAACAATGAACCTATTAAACCCTTATACCTATCCCTAACCCCTACACACATGGTAGGAGTAGGACCCAAGAAATATTCCCACCATAAACACAAAAAACAAGCATTCCCTGAATGGCTGAGTCCAATTACTTTTACAAGGAATTGCATTGGCAATTTTGCCCATCCAATTCAATATTAATCATTACTATATTAAATTCTCTTCAATATTTCTTCTTACATTAACACAGTAAATGCCATAGTTTGTAGAGTTTTCCCATCTCTAATGATAATATAATTTTGCAGATTTTATTAATTATTAAACAACTTATGTATAGTATTATAGGGTATTTTTTTATGGCATTTTCGTCTTTTTAGAAGGCAATCTGATCTTTTTACACCTTTTGCTTTTCTGTTTTCTGAGGAAAATGTGTTCGTATTTAGTCCCAAACGAGTGGATGAAGGATGAAAAAAAATGGAAGAGAGGAAGAGAAATGAAGTGCTTACCGAAGATGAATTTGTCGAGGCTCTCGCGAGGGAGGTACTCGTAGACGAGGATCTTCTCTGCGCCGTGTGTGCAGTACCCCAAGAGGTTCACCACGTTCCGGTGCTGCACGCGTGCAAGCAGCTTCGCCTCATTCATGAACTCCTTCTTCCCTTGATTCGAGCTCTGCGACAGCTTCTTCACTGCGATCTCCCTCCCATCCCCCAATTTCCCCTATCAAATTCAAATGAAAATTCGCAACTATTAATAACTAATTGAAGTATTAAATCCTGTAAAATTATGGTTTTTGCTGGATTTGGTAATGGCGTTTACCCTGTAGACGGGGCCGAAACCGCCTTGGCCGAGCTTGTTGTCGGGGTGGAAGTCTCGGGTGGCAGCCACGAGGGTTTCGAAGGAGAAGACCTTTTGCTCCTGCGCCGCGATCTGCTCCAAATTTTCTTCCTTGGACACGTCTGATAATCAAGCATAGCCATGGTTAGTGTGCGAAGAAATCTCTGACTCAAGCTCAAGGATATTACAGGGTTTTGGCTCTGGGGGTACCTTTGTCTGAATGAAACTTGAAGGGTTTCATGAGGTTGCTTATGAATTTGGATTTCATCATGAACTTCTTGCTTCTGGGGTTTGTGCTATAGTTGGGTCTCTGCGAGGCACACCATCAATGAATCGAAAGAAATGGCGATGGTGGGTCGAACGGAGGCGTCGATTGCTACTTCGCTTCTCTTCTCTCTTCTCTAAAGGCTTCTCTCGCTCTCGCTCTCGCTCTGATATATGGACCGTGTACAAATACGATAACGTGTTTTGCCTGTTGACCAAGGAAGAACCAACGCGTGAGGCGGTTGTCGAGACTCGATAGAAAGGAGGAGAGGAGGAGGGAGAGAAGGAGGGCATAATCGCAAAAGGTGAGGTCAGATGAGCTGTCTCTTCTCCAATGGGGAAAAGAAATTTTCGTGGGGGTAAGGAAAGGAAGAGAGTTTATTTGTTTCACAAGGAAGCAATGGAGATTGGAACTGTCTTTTATCTTCCTCCATTGACTGTTAACGGTGGAGAATTACTTCCTAATCTGTTTTGATTCTTCTTAGTGTATGTCTCAAAAAACTACTTTTGGTATTGACTTCTGTTACTCTAAATTTTGTTGATTCATTCTTTCTAACCGTATCAGACACCATTCGGATCTTTGGTTTACCTCATTCAACATTTTCACCAAATGACCGAGCTGAGCTGCGTTTGAAAGTGATGTAAACCAAGATCGATAAAAATATTTACGTCGGTTCGGTTTTATCAGGTTTTGAAGGAATATAAATTAAGATTGACATAAAATTTTACTCTGGTTCGGTTTTATCGACATTTGGGTAGAATGGATTTTTTTGTCATGCTTTTTGAAATTCAATGGTCACTTTTTTACGGTTTGATGTAAAACTTTATCGATGTATTTTTACATTAATACGTTTTACATCGATTCCAAACAATGCCTAATAGATAATTGAAGGGGAAAGCTAGTTCTGAGGGAGAAAGGTAGGTTTGGTGTGTTGGAATAGGTAATTAAAAAGAAGAAAATGCGGTAGGTAGGCCTTGGACTACTCTACTCTATACACCATTAATTAATTATAAAGTTTATAACTTCATTTTAATTAATCCAGGGTGTTTAGTTTGTAATTTATACATTGAAGTCTGAGACCATTGATGCCAAAATATAATTCAGTTAGAAATCCATATATTTGTTGAAGTCCCTCAAATTTTTCATTTTATATTCGGTATAAATAAGAAAATGAACTATATTACGGAGGCTAAAATTGGATTATAGAATTGAAACAAAAATTAAAAAACTTAGGCAAGAATGGGCCAAATAAATCATTTTGGAAAACATTATGCAATATAACCTTTGAAGATTTGTTTGTTGGTCAGAAACCCCGGAGTGATTTCTCAAGGAGATTCCTCTGACGCTCAAGTTAGGCAGGGAAGAGGAGAGAGGCAAGGTTCAGAAAGTGATAAGAGTGATCATAAGGTCCCTTCTTACCTTGGGTCGACTGCTCTTATATAGAGAAAGAGTCATGGCCGAAGAAGGGTGGATTTTCTTTCTCAGCTCAATTTCCTTATTTCGCTTGGTTTCATTGTCATTTTGCCTTTCCAATTCGAGTTTCTCTTTCTTGTTCCTTCATATAGGCATTTTCCCCAATTTGCCCTTGGATAGAAAGGTTTTAAAAACCGATTCAGAAAGGAAATGGAACTGTTCTAGCTACCGGTTTTTGGGTCAGCGGTTCGATTGTCTGGGTCAAACTGTTCGGGTGGTTTGTTATTAGGGCAAATATTTTATGAGTTATGAGATTTGAGAAATGAGAGAAAGTGATGTTGTCGGCCAAGAAAGAACAAAAAGAAAGAAGAATAGAAAGAAAGAAAGGAGAGGAAAAAAGAAGAGAAGAGAAAGGCAATGAAGGAGGAAAGAAGAAGGAAGAGGAGGGTGGTTCGACGCTCACTAGCGACGGGGAAGCGGCGGCAACAGACTCTGAGTTCTCTTGAGATCTTTCAAATCTGAGATCTCAGTTCTCAGATTTGAGATTTTTTAGATCTGAGATCTCAATTCTCATATCTTCTTCTTCTTCTTCTTCTTCTTCTTCTTCTTCTTCTTCTTCTTCCTCAGATCTGAGACAAATTCTCTCCTGCAACTTTATACTGCGAACCGCTGTCCGGGTCAAACAAGTCGACGGTTCGACCGTCCGGGTCAGCGGTTTTTGACCCAAGAACGGGTTAGGGGTGAAACAAAACTGGTTGCTTGGACGGTTTCTAGGCCGAATGGTCCACCCATCCAGGTCAGCGACGGTTCAAAAACATTGTTGGATAGTGCCACACTCACATGTTGATTGATCGGTGGAATATGTCTACAAAAAGTTTAGATATGTAACATAGGAGTAAGAGTGTCAATGGACCAGTTTTGGACAGGACCCCCATCCAGTCCAAAATAAATTTCAACAGATTGGACAAACCAACAAGGCATATTGGATTGGACCAATCCAATCCAAAATATTTATTAGATTGAACTGGACCTGGTCCGTTCATAATAAATTTATATTGTATTCGATTGGATTAAGCCAATATCTGGCCCATTGAAATAAGATAAGAATATAGATGTCAATGGACCGGGTTTGAATTGAAACCAATCTAAATTAAAATGAATTTGAACAGATAGGATAGTCCAGACATTGAATTGGACAGGTCCAAAATGATCCAAAATATTCATTGGATTGGATTAGACCTGATCCATTTGTAATGGACTCACATTGGATTGGATTGGATTGGACCACATCCAGTCCAATTGACACCCCTACATAGGGGTGTAGTCGAATTGAGTCGAGATGAATTTTAATTGTCTTAATTTGGTTTGACTAAACTAGGAGTTAGAGCTTCACTCCACAAAGTATTAGATGAGTTGGAGTTTTGCATCATCATCATTGAAGGACAATGATGATTGTAAGTCGAGTGGGCTAGGCCGATTTTAACTCATTTGAGGCTCAACCCTAAGAATTGGGTCTAAAGCCTAAACCCGGCCCAAGCCTGAGGTCAAACCCAAACTATCCAACCTAAGCTCAACTTGCATTAAAATTTAATGCACTCAAGTTGGGTTTAGGCTCAATAGGGCTTGTGTTGGTTAACCAGCTCAAACAAAAAATTGATATAAATGAACATGTGTATGCATATAAATATATGTTTGTATATATGCATATATAAATGCATATGATAGAGACATATTTGAATTGGGATTAGGTTGGACAAATTTGAGCGACCTAAGGACTAGGCTCAAAACTTTGGGTCAAAGCTCAACAGCCTAGTTCAACCCCAACCTAGCCCATGTAAAATTGCGGACTAGGGTGGTATATTGGTCTACGCTCAAGTAAACCAATGCAAGTTGCATTGTTGCACCTAGACCTATTCATGGGCTGGGTAGCCCGACGAGCTGGCTTGTCCTTGCTCGTTATTAAGTCGGACTTGGTCATAATTTTAGGCCCACAGGCTCGGGCCTAAAGAACCAGGCCTGACTTTTTTTCGGGCCGATCTCAGGCTTTCTCAAAAAAGCTCGACTTGAGCCTAAGCCCAACTTGATATTATATATTAAATAATAAAAATATATTTTATTAATACAAATAATATATACATATATATATATAATATTTTTTCTTTGTTCTTCTTCTCTTTTTTCCAAGTAATAGTGAGATGTTTATTCTTTTTGAGTTTTGAAGGTTTTTAATATAAATAAACACTTTTTATTGAATAAAAAAAGAAAAAAATTCTGTTTTCAAATTTCTGGATAGGCTCAGACTCAAGCCCGGGCTTCAGGATTTATATGAGGGTCGGGCTCGAACTCAAGGCTTAGGCCCGATGGTTGGGTCAGCTTGAGCTCGGGCTTGAGTGTATTCTATTGACACATATACAAAGCCCGGCCTGGCCCACAAACAGGTCAAGTTGCACCCCTAGGATTGAAAGCACCAACAATGAGCATTTCAAAGACTGCAATCAACAAAGTCATGCTTAAGCAAGCATCCTGGAAAAAGGAAGTCGTTGAAATTTGAAAACAAGACCATCGTTGATACACCCAGAATCAATGACCAACCAAATCCGCACATGTGGCATCGACCTATGTAAGCTCGACACCTCAACTCAGCTAGCCCTCAATTGTCCTCGCCTCATCACCCTGTCCCCTTTTTTGGAAGCTCGATCATGCATCTGTAGGAATGCATCCTAGTAGGGGTGGCCGCAAGCCGAGCTTCTTACGAGCTATTCAAGCTCGGCTTGGTTTAAACCGACCTTTGAGCCGAGCTCGAGCCTAATACATAGGCTTGTTTTCTAATCAAGTTGACCTTGGGCCTAGTAAAGGTCGGCTCATGAGCCTAGTATAATAAATAAATA